CCCCCCCCATAATGGAATGATAAATGGTTTTACAGCTGTGTGTTCAGATCTGGACTAATTTATGCTGTTTTGTTTGTAAATGTCACCAAGTTTTCAACTGCCTTGCTTTTTAATAACTAACAGTGATTTGTTTCCACTTGTGTCCAGACGTAGTCCACAATTCAAAGCAAGGCTCTTCGTTGCTTTAGCTGCTTGTTGGCTGACGTGCGCTGACCATTGTTCCAGTGTACTCATGTCCTTTTCAAGTGGTTCTTTTCTTATTTGTTTCATTTTGGATCATCGTGTCCTAACATTTGCTTGGCTTCTCTGTTCTCCTTAGCCATTCACTGTCTGACTGCAGAAGTCTTTTTTCAGCCATTTCAATCCTGCACTTTGAAATATCCTGCCGGGGACAACCAGGTACGCATCAGCCTCTCTCTGTTGTGTCTCTGCACCCTGTCCTGCAGCGCAGGTTGTGTTGCTGCCTCTTTGTCGTGTTTCATACCATGAATCATCAACTAACAGTCATTCTGAACTTAGGCTAAGTTATCATTTCCCACAGTCATAAAACAAGTAAACAGTGCCTTGGAAATGTATTCATGGCCCCTAAACTTTTCCACATTTTGTGACGTCACAGTGTTTTACTGCAATAAACACAAAGCAGCAGATAATTGTGAAGTGGAAGGAAAATCCAACGGGGTTTGCAAAATAGTTTTGCAAAATAAAAATCTAAAAAAGTGTGCCATGCACATTTTGTACACAGCTCCCCCGTGTCAGTACTTTATAAAACCACCTTTGGCATCAATTTCAGAGGCAAGGATTTTGAAACGTGTCACTATCGGCTAATTATTTTATTAATTCTTCTTTGCAAAAGAGCTCCAGCTCAGCTGGGTTGAATGAAGAACACCTGCTAACGCTGGATGGCAGACCTCTGCCACCCCAGTCTCATCCTTTTGCAGCCTTTAAGGGGTTAACGTCCAGGCTCGCCCTGTGTTTCGCTCCATTCACTTTTCTATCAACTCTGACCAGTATCTTGTTGCTTCCGAACAGCATCCCCACAGCATGATGCTGCCTCCACCATGTTGCACAGTGGGCATGGTGTGTTCGTGGTGATGTGCAGTGGTATTTTTTCATCGTACAATAATTTTTATTTAGGCCAGAAAGTTCAGCTTCGAGCTGATCTGAGTGTATCAGCTTCTTCTAGATGTTTCTGTGTCCCCACAGAGTTTGTGACAAACTGCAAACGTTCGAGCTGTCAGAGTGAAAAGGCCTGAATACAAATGCACACTATTTGTTTTCACGGTTTTATTTGTGAAAGAAATTAAAAGCATTATTGTTTTTCTTCCACTATACAAAGGCTTAGTGGTTAGCACTGTTGCCTCACAGCAAGAAGGTCCTGGGTTCAATCCCTGCTTGGACCTGGAGTCTTTACATGTGTTGAGTTTACATGTTCTCCTGACACTCTGGTTTCCTCCCACAGTCCAAAAACCTGCATGTCCAGGCGTCACAACAGATCAGTGATCTCAGTGGGATCAAATTAAATAAAGGCTAATTAAACAAATAAATAAAGATGCCCTACCTCGTGTTGGTCAATCACATAAATTTATAGTAAAATACTTTGAGATTTCTGGTGGCATTCTGACAAAATATGGTAAAGTTCAGGGGAATTATATCGTACACCATTTTGATTTAGTAAACTTGGACAGTTTTCTGTAAAAGCGCAGCGTGAATGTTCAGCGTGCTGAGTCACCCTGCTGACATTGGTCAAAGAAGCCAAAACTATAATTGTTGAAATTACCAGGATCCAAACTAAATCTAGAATGAGCAAAAGCTGAAAGTTTGGAATAACTAAAGGCTAAAATGAGCAAAATCTTAGTTAAAAGCTTAAACTAGCAAAACAGTAGCTTAAAGCTAAAACCAGTAAAACTGGCTAGATGGTAGGTCTTTCTAAACAGTCGCCGAAAGCTAAACATGAAACCAGTATGCAGAAGATTTCAAAAAGCACAACTTTTTTCAAGGATTTTAAGAGATGTTGGTTTATTTCTATGAAACAATGTAAGTAAAGTTAAATATTTAAAAATTTGTAAAAGTTACAAATAACTGAAGCGGTTCTGAAGTAGTCCGAGTCCAGAAAACATCCTGAAGAAACTACAAACGGGACACAACACCATAAATGCTGACTCAGCTTTCGCACAATGATGAAGGAGAATAAAAGTTTCTGACCCTTCTGCATTTATTTCCCGTCACTGCAGGTCATCGTCATGTCTGGCCATGAAACTATCCGGGTCCTTGAGGTGGAGGTTGATGCCTCTCTGCCGTCGTCGGCCCCTGATGGAAAAAGCGAACTCAAAGCTGAGGAGGGAGTGGCTCAGTCGACGGAGAGAGCTGAAGCCGGCGGCAGCCAGAACAGCCCCCCGGTGCCCCCGAGCTCTGGGGAGGCAGGTAAATCATGGACGACTCGTTACTGTAACTGAGCGCTGTAGTAAAGTTTAATGACAGATTTAAAGAAAACGTGTAAATTCTTGTGCTCCTGCAGGGATGGGGGAGCAGCAGGGGGTGTCGGTGGATGCTCTGGCTCCTGCTGTCCCAACGCTGACTCCTGCTGTGCCCATCAGCGTGTCCCTGCCTCAGCCGCAGACCGCCATGCCCATCACCGTCCAAGGCTGTCCCCAGGTATCCACTGCACTCGTCCTCAATGTAAATAAAAACAGATGTTCTTGCATCATGAAGTAGGTGTTTGTAAGAACAAAGGATGTAAATAATAATATATTTTTGAAATGATTTAAGTTCACAACCGATAAACAAACATGCAAACAGCTTTCCTTAGACAACCTGACAGGAAGGATCTCCACTGCGCTCTAGGTGCTGACGCAGGAAGGTCTGGCCACCCTTATGACCGGTATGATGGCCCAGACGGGGTCACTGGGTCAGCCTCTGCTCATCCCCCTCAGCATGACTGGTTCTGTTGGGGCCCAGGGCGGTTTGGCTGTTCTCACGCTTCCAACCACTAATGTAGCCACTCTTCCTGGCCTCGCAGCAGCCAACCCGGCTGGGAGCATCCTCAAACTGCCCTTTGCTGGCCTTCAAGGTAAAACCTGCACGCCTGCTGCTCATTCAGCCTCTTTTGTCCAGAAATATGATTAGATTGTGGTTCTCATCTTTTTCTAACGCGCTCGTCTCATCGAACTCTTTAAACGCCCGTCGAAGGCGGGACGTGTTATGGTAGTATCTTTTGTCTCACCCATAACTTCTGATCCGCTCAAGATAATTTAATGAAACTTGATATTATGCATCATCGCTAGATGCTGTGTGTCACATACATTTTCCTCACCCTAGCTTCAAGGTCAAGGTCACAAATCAAGGTCAAAGGTCTTTGCTTGCCCGGGTCACTGTATAGATTGTGGTATTGCTGTATAATGTTTGTCATGAGTGTATAATGTGTCGTGTGCGGTACGCTAGTGAACATTTTCCCTCCGAGCAGCCTTGTCACCTAACAGAACCACCCTGCACTTGATCTCAGCAGCGACGGTCCTGAACTCGGTCCAGCCTCAGCTGCATACGAACCCACAGACAGTTTTCCAGCCTCAAGCAGCTTCCTTCCAGCCGCTGCAGACCCCCGTGCAGCAGGTGCCACCTCAGCAAACGCAGGTCACGGGCGCTCAGGTGACCTGTGCCCCCCCCACCATCTCTCAGTCCAACATACCTTTAGCAGCGCTTCAGACCGCAGGACTGTCCATCAACCCCGCCATCGTAAGACTTCCTGTTCACGCCTTTCACACGTGCCCGTACGTCTCTGTGCAACGCTGTGAACATGCTGCGATCTTTCTGCTCAGATTTCTGCTGCTTCGTTAGGAGCGCAGCCGCAGCTGTTCAGTTCCCTGACCTCCACCCCCATCATCAGCAGCGCCATGTCCAGCATGGCGGGCATCACCAGCCAGATCATCACCAACGCCCAGGGACAGGTGGGCACTGAAAGTACTGCTACTGGAACGGGATTGCATAAAATAATGACTTTATCTGATATTTATTCTGCCAATTAAATAGTTAAATTAAACAAACCATAGTTTTAAAAGACAATCAAACATTTTTTATTTGTTTTGAAATGTATCTTCATGAATAAATCAACAGTCTCTTTGCAAAGAAAAGTTTTTTTCATGAGCCAAAGCTTTTCTAAACCCATTTCTGTCACTCTTGATAAAAGATCCTCCAAGTCTCTTATTATGAAATATTTTCTTAAAATGATGACTTTAGCATTTTCTTATTTTTATGCAATACTGTCTCAATTATTATTATTATTATTATTATTATTATTAAAAATAAAAAGTGGCTCAAATTGGCTTCCATACCTTCAGGTATGTAAAAAAAAGCTGGTTGTGTGTTCCAACAGTGGAACAAGTTATTTTACTTTCTGTTACCTTTTTAAAGGGAATTATTTGTTCAAAATACAAATTTTGACTTGCCTTTCACTCGTTGTGATGGTTTAGTTTATAATTAGAAGTTCTACTGTAGTCCTACCTGTAATTGCTCTAACAGCGTTCAGTCTTGTGATTTTCAAATTCTTAGATGTCCCAATTACCGTATTTTTCAGACTATAAGGCGCATTACGCGAAACAAAACAGTCAGATAAGTCAAACTTTATTCAACTCGTTCACAATAACCACATAAAATCGGTTTGAGGTCGGTAAACACAACCAGAATTAATACAGAAGGCGCACCGGATTATAAGGCTGTCGATTTTTGAGAAAATTTAAAGGATTTTAAGTGTGCCTTTATAGTCCGAAAAATACGGCTAAAATATTTTTATTGCAGTATTTAAAAATGTTCAATATATTCAATAGTGTGAATGCTTCTAAATTACTCTCACTATTGAGATCTGTTTTTCTCCTGTTTGTTTTTCTGCAGTTTTTCTTCTATTTCAACAGCTCATGTATCAAAACGTTCAGCTCACTCAGGACAGTCCTGCTATGAGTAGGCCTGTCACGATAACCAATTTCGCTGGGCGATTAATTGTCTCAGAAATTATTGTGATAAACGATAATATTGTTTGAAATTTGACAATAATTAGTAATTGTCAAATTTAATAAGACATGTTGGTTAATTTGTTTTGTATGTAGTACCTTTTTTCGACCACTGGATGACAGTTTAAGATCGTGTGAACCAAAGGATGGATAGTGAGGGAGTGAGCAGCGCGTCTCTTTAAGAAAAATGAGAGGGAGGCCTCTTGACGTGACATGGGCTGTCTCTCTTCGCTTCTCAAAATGGCGGACGCTTAGTGTAGTTTGAGCTCTTTAGCATAGCATTTTTCACACAAAGCTGTTAATAAAAAATCAATAAACAAGTTCTCAGCTTGAAAACAACAAAGTCCATGCTCAATAATCCAGGTATACAATCCAACATTTTTCAGTCAGGTCATTTGGACAGTTTCTGTTTTTTGCGCTGAAACGTTTCGCCTTCGGTCCGGAAGGCTTCATCAGTCAAGGAAATATACAACAAATATGATTCTTCCCCCAACAGCTTACGCCAAAGTGGAACAAACCAGTTCTGCTTGTGATAAGATGGTCTCTTTGGTACGCCCCCTCCTCCATTGCCAGCCCTCTTCCTTGTTGACAGTCTGGTCAAACTGGTTGAAAACAACAAAGTCCATGCTCAATAATCCAGGTATACAATCCAACATTTTTCAGTCAGGTCATCTGGACAGTTTCTTTTTTTTTTCTTTCTGTCAACAAGGAAGAGGGGGCGTACCAAAGAGACCATCTTATCACAAGCAGAACTGGTTTGTTCCACTTTGGAGTAAGCTGTTGGGGGAAGAATCAGTTTTGTGTTGTGTGTTTCCTTGACTGATGAAGCCTTCCGGACCGAAGGCGAAACGTTTCAGCACAAAAAAAAAAGAAACTGTCCAGATGACCTGACTGAAAAATGTTGGGAAGTTCTCAGCTTCTTTTTACACAAAGGCACGGGTTTCAACCGTGAATTTTGGAGCTTCGACAAGACGCAGTTTTTTCCCTGAGGTCGGCCTGTTAGCTTAGCTCGTAGCTTGGCTTCTCCTTAGTTGCTTTTAACGATCCAAAAACACAATTTTGGATCGTTAAAATGGATTTTAAAGAGAAAAGAGAAAGGGAGGAGTCAGTGAGGAGCACCGGAGTTGAGCTTTTTATCATCCAGTGTCTTCAGTAGAAAGAGAGACACGAAGAAACTATAAAGTCGATAAATGAAAATGAGGTTGATAATTTTCATTTATCATGCTATTTATTGATTTATTGTTTATCGTGACAGGCCTAGCTATGAGCTTTGGTGCTTGTGCTTTTTTACTGTTTAAACTATTTAGCTTTGTCGGCCATGTTTTTCTCATTGAAAATGAATGCAGCTTTCTTCACGTCCTTCAAACTCTTTCAGCTGTTTACAACCTTTTAGCGCACATTTCAGCTGTTGTTCTGCTTCAGCCTTTTCAGCTTTTTTGTATTAATTTCAGCTTTTTTCTGCTAAATTCACTTTTTTCAGCTAATTTTTTAAAACTTTTTATGTTATTTTTCTAATTTCGGTGCTTTTGTGCTTCTATCTAATAACTTCAAATTTTTCGCACCTTTCAGCCTATTTCTATATATTTCAGCTTATTTCTTTTAGCTTTTTCAGCCACTTTTTTGCCAGTTTCAGCTCTTTTCTGCTCATTTTAGTTCCTTTTTTTTTTTGCTAATTTCAGATATTTGTCAGCCTCTCTACCTATTTCAGCTTATTCTGCTCATTTCTGCTCTGTTCAGCTGCTGTTTTTCTTCTGCTTTCAGCAAATGTCAGCTGTTCAAATTCATCTCACAGTAACAGTTTACTGGTGAAACGTGGTTGGTTTCAGCATCTTTAGCAGCTGCGTTCACGCTGCAGAAATGCAGTTCCTCTAGTGTTTTCATGTGAGGTGTTTTTTTTTTCAAAGTTCTGCTCCGACACCTGGGAGTGTTTTCACTTGAGTTTTCTCAGGGGATTAAATTATATCTTCTGCATGTTCTGTTTTTCTTTTCATCGACCCTCGCAGCTCATAGGGACCCTCCCGTTGTTTGTGAACCCAGCCTCTCTAGCCGGAGGGGCCGCGACTCCCACTCTCCCCCTCCAGGGTCTCCAGGTCCAGACGGTCACCCCACAGCTGCTTCTCAACACCCAGGGTCAAATTATAGCTGCGGTAGGAAACGGACCTGCTGCCGTCGTAACTTCTGCAGCAGCTCTGCCAAAAACCAGCACTGCTCCAACACCTAACAAAGCGAGCACACAGGTAGGAGGCCGACATGTCTGAGAGGAGACTCTGGAAGCTGGAACTTCTCTGAAGGTGTTTCTGGTCAGACGTTTGTCTTTTGAGGGCATTTTTCCTGAAACCTGTGTTTCCTCTCAGGCTTCGGTAACAGCAGCCACTCCGTCGCCGGTCGTCATCGCACCACAGCCATCTGTGCTGAAGAGCTCCACCACGCTGTCCTCCACAGCTCCCATCACCTGTGGAGACGTCGCGAAAGTGGGCCAGCTCGTTAGCAGTGCGTACCCCTCCCCCCGCTCCTCCCCCCCTGTCAGAGATGTGTTTGAAGTAGGTAGGTATTTTTAACTCCACTCGTCACATTTGCAGAACCCCAGCAGACAGTCAGCAGCGAGGAAATCATTAATTTGGAGGAAATCCGAGAGTTCGCCAAGAATTTTAAGATCCGGCGGCTGTCCTTGGGCCTAACTCAGACACAAGTAGGGCAGGCTCTCACCGCGACGGAGGGGCCGGCTTACAGCCAGTCTGCAATCTGCAGGTAAAACACCCCCCTGTTGACCCCCCACGTCACACCTTTATTCTGCTTGTGTCTAACGGACCTTTCTCACTGATCATTTTGACTGAGCAGCATAAAAACACACCTGTGAGAACATTTCAGATGCTCCTCCTGCAGCAAGATGCTACTAAAGATACAAAGTGAACCCACTCAGTCCAGCTTTATAAAGATGTGGAATTAGAGTTCTGTTTTTAAAAAGCTCTGTTCTAACTAGAGTTACAGGAAAGTTTGAAGTTAGAAAAATGCCACGAGAATTATGGGAATTTAAGAGAATTAACCTGACATTTAAAATACTGAAGTTTGGTCCGTAACGGGGATTTTCAATATAACTGAGGAAGATATGATTTAACATAATCTTGACTGAAACGAGCAGATTTCCCAGCTCGCGTGTGACAAGAGGAACCGCACCATAGCATGTCCCCTGGACACGCAGGGCTGGCGTCGACCAGAACCTTTTCTTCAGAGTTTGATTGTGAAATTAATTGTCATGAAATTATTATTTTAAAGCCATTGCATTGATTAATTAACATAAAAAAAGTTATGTTCAACACTGTGTGAGTAAATATCAATATAAACACTTCCATGATGTTTGTCATATGCAATTTATTATATTATGATTTTATGTGCGTACAGTGACAAAAACATGAACAGATGTGTAAAATGTGAGGATATGTTTTGTTCAGAGTTTAGCTAAGATTACGAAAAAATAAAAATGAAAATGAATTGTAGAAATGTTTGAAATGCATTTTTCTCTAAAGCTCGTGTGGTTGCGACGCAGAGATGTCCTTATATCTAAATTAGGTCATTACGTTTGTTTCTTTTATAAAACCTTAGGTCAAACTCATTTTCTGCCAACAACTAAACAAAATGTGTTTATTTTTGTTTTGTTTGTTCTTTGATTTATGAATTAGTTTGTTTAAGCCACCTCCGATTTCCAGTTTATTCCCATAAATTCCTATAATTCCCGTGGACCATTTCTCATTTAGAACATTTCCAAACGTCCCCAGCTTTACTTCTCAAAGAAACTGTTTTTGTCTTTGCAGCCTCAGTTCTTACACTTACAGTACAAACACTTCTAAAACACCATTTTATTTAGCATTCCAGGTCTGCTCTGCTTATAAATTATAATAATTACAGTAACTATTATAATTTGTTGCAACCAGTCATCCATCCATCCATCCATTATCTTTACCCGCTTATTCCATTTTGGGTCACGGGGGTCGCTGGTGCCCATGTCCAGCAATCACTGTGCGAGGGGCAGGGTACACCCTGGATGGGTCGCAAGTCCATCACAGGGACACATAGAGACAAACGAGACAAACAACCATTCACTTTCTCACTCACACCTAGGGACAATTTAGAGTTACCAATCAGCCTAACATGCATGTTTTTGGTCTGTGGGAGGAAACCGGAGTACCCGGAGAAAACCCACGCATGCACGGAGAGAACATGCAAACTCCACCCAGAAAGGCCCCTGGACCGGGGTTTGAACCAAGGACCTGCTCGCTGAGAGGCAGCAGCTCTACCAGTTGCGCCACCGTGCTGCCCGCAACCAGTCATGACTGTTTCAAAACATGCAACTGTAGACTTTTTGGACACATAGTTCTAGTCTACAGACCTAACTGAGAATAAACAAACAAACAAAAAATCACTCTCTTTGGGTAGATTTAGGTTTATGGTCATATGCAGATCAACACAACCAACAAATGAAATGCTCAGGATGAGAAGAACCGTCTCGACTCGCCAAAAAAACAACAACAAGAAATACCAAAGCATGCAACAAAAATACAAAAACAAGGCACCAAAAGTGAAAGGTCCCGTTAGCAGCATGGTACTGTTAGCAGCATGGTACTGTTAGCAGCATGGTACTGTTAGCAGTGAGGTTCTGTTAGCACCATGATGCTGTTAGCAGTGAGGTTCTGTTAGCACCATGGTGCTGTTAGCAGTGTGGTTCTGTTAGCAGCATGGTCCCATTAACAGCATGGTACTATTAGCAGTGAGGTTCTGTTAGTAACATAGTCCTGTTAGCAGTGTGGTTCTATTAGTAACATGGTCCTGTTAGCAGCATGGTACTGTTAGCAGTGAGGTTCCATTAGCAGCACAGTCCTGTTAGCAGCATGGTGCTGTTAGCAGTGAGGTTCTGTTAGTAACATAGTCCTGTTAGCAGTGTTGTTCTATTAGTAACATGGTCCTGTTAGTACCATGGTACTGTTAGCAGTGAGGTTCCATTAGCAGCACAGTCCTGTTAGCAGCATGGTGCTGTTAGCAGTGAGGTTCTGTTAGCAGCATGGTCCTGTTAGCAGCATGGTCCCATTAGCAGTGTGGTACTGTTAGCAGTGTGGTTTTATTAGTAGTTTAGTACTGTTAACAATGTGGTACTGTTAGCAGTCTGGTTAGCAACATGGTCCCGTTAGCAGCATGGTCCCATTAGCAGTGAGGTTCTGTTAGCAGCATGGTACTGTTAGCAGTGTGGTTCTATTAGCAGTGAGGTTCTGTTAGCAACATGGTCCCATTAGCAGCGTGGTGATAATAATGACCTCAACAATTAGTTAATAGAAATAGAACAAATAAAAGTTAGTTAATTTATTGTATTGCTTATTTGTGTATCAACATATGTTTTGTATTAACAAATACCAAACGTCATATTTTTGTAGCCTGGACTAGTCTGTAGTGCACATCCCAACATGACTTTTAGCAAAGATAATATTACAAAATAATAACAATAATTCAAAATAGTTTTAATAATATGAAGAAAAAAACTGTTTTGAAAATACAGATCAGGACAGAAATAAAAGTCATAAAACATGTTATAAATCAATTCATATTCATATCATGAAAAAACTTAAATGTTTCTAGAATAAGTTGATATGAATTATTATTTAAATTAGAATAAAAAAGTGAATTTCCTCTGGCTTGTTCTCTTCTGTTCCCATCAGGACTTTTGGTTTGGATATTCTGCTGCGGCAAAAAACATAAAAATAAGCATCTTGACGTTGTGGCTTTTGGTACCAGTAAATGTACAGTATAGATAAAATCTGAAAATAAATAAATAAAAACAATAACAAATGCAGTCAACTCCTCCATAGATAATGGGATTTGAAGAAAAGGCAGCCATAATTGGAGCTCATCATTTAAAGATGGAGCCAGTCTGGATAAAGTTCTCTCTCTCTCTCTCAGGTTTGAGAAGTTGGACATCACCCCTAAGAGCGCCCAGAAGCTGAAGCCTGTGTTGGAGAAGTGGCTGGCCGAAGCCGAGCACTGGAACCAGAAAGGCCAGCAGAACCTGATGGAGTTTGTCGGAGGCGAACCGTCCAAAAAGCGCAAACGGCGCACCAGCTTCACGCCGCAGGCGATCGAAGTGCTCAACTCCTACTTCGAGAAGAACGCCTTGCCCACGGGCCAGGAGATTACGGAGATCGCCAGAGAACTCAACTACGACAGGGAGGTGGTGCGAGTGTGGTTCTGCAACCGGCGGCAGACGCTGAAGAACACCAGCAAGATCAACGTCTTCCAGGTTTAGCAGCGACCTCGTTCTGGGACGTTCCCCCGCCCGTCCTTTGCCCTGTTGGGAGTCGGAGCGCGTCCTGCAGCAGCACGGATGAAGTTCTGAGTTTGTCCCGTTAAGGCTGGAAGGAAATGACACGAGTCCTGAAAGTGATTTGTATTGTAAGGTTGTAAATGTGAACATCACGTCTGTGTGGTGCTGACTCAGCTGTTCTGCATGGTCCTTTTATCTCAGACTTCTCTGGTTTTATAAGCTACCCCCCCCCCCCCTCCCCCATGACTCATTTTAAATGTCTGGGTCACATTAACTGTCTTTGGATAATGAAAACTGTACAGATGCTCATTTATTTCATATCTAAGTGGTATTTTTAAAGAAAGAGCAGCTCTTCAAACAGACAAAAGACTCTGTAGATTCTTAATAAGCAGAAACTTTATTTCCATCAGTTGTCTGCTACTTCCCCACCCCCCAGACTCTTAACTCTGCTCCAGTGCTGAGGGACAATCATCGTTTTGATATTTGTCAGTGGATAATCATGAAGATGAGCTCCAGCTCTACAATGATGCCCTCTCTTTAAGTGTTCTTCACTTCTTTTGGCCGGGTGAACTTTACGACACTGTGTGTCCAGAGTCTAATGTGACGCTCTGTTTGCAGCAACTCCCCGTCCAGTTAACCTCGTAGCTTTTGTCCGTGGTGCCAAAATTGTAAACTAGTTTTAAATTTTGAATAATCTTCATTTAACTGTGTGAGACTTTTTTTTACATTTATTTGAATGAATTAATAATTATAATCTCAGTGCGGGTGCCAGTGTGTAAATAATCCTGTTTGTCCTGTTTTCACACTTTCACTCACATAATTTTTAAGTCTCATTTTATGAAACAGTTTTGGCTCTTCCCTTCATAACCTGACAGTGTTTGTGGTGCTTTTTACGCCTGGAGTTACATAAACCATATTTTCAAATAGGAACTTGATTTAAAGGAAGCTTCTGTGGTTGTTTGTGTTCATATGAAACTTAACATCATCTAACTGCGTATAGGAGGGAACAGATGCGATGAACTGAAGGAATGTTGAATGTTTTTATGTTTGGAGGAATTTTTGGACACTTTGCGTATGCAATATGAAGTTATTGTCAACTGGACACAAACTTTGGCAATTGCTTTTGATTTTGCAGCTTTCTAAAGATTTGTTTGCACTTTAGTAAACGCAGAGGAAGTGAAAAGATTGAAATGGTCCAGTTTAGGTTTCCATTGCGTTTGGCGACAAGTTTGTTACAAAGTCAATCTAAAGTTGTCATTTATTGGATTTTATCAGTAAGAGCTTTGTAAACTAGCAGTATCGATAACATTTACAGGTTTATTATTGACCTTTCATTCAGACTGAATGTTAATGAGTACAGAATATGGAAAATTGATATAGATTATAGCAAAAAGATGTGTTGAATGCTCTGCCTTATATTTTCATTTTTGAAAGACAAAGGCCAATAAAATAGAGTATTACCATTAATAGATTAAAGTTCTTGATTTAACACCTTTATCATCAACTGAATAAAATATATAATATTGTTTAATTTACTAAGTTATCTATTAGAAAAGATTAACTAAATTATAGAAAAATTAAATAAAGCCAGTGTTCCTTTTAATCTGCAAAGCAGACAAATGTCATTTTTGTGAAACAAACAAATGGAAGGTTTTTGTCATTTTTTCTGTCAAAAAATAAACATTTTTTATTAATCACTCTTTGTGTATTAATGTATTTTAAAACTATGCATTGGTTATAGTTAAGGTAATCAGGATAAAGAAGAATAAAAAAATATATTTTTACCAATAATTTGTTTTTTGCTGAAATGGTTATAGGCAAATTATCCTTTTCTGATTAAACTTTGAGTAATTTAGCTTCCCTAATCTATACAATAATGGTAAAATTATATTGTACATTTCTATTTTAGTACACTTTTTAATAGCCCTGTTAAAAATCACATTTCTATGATGAAACTTAACGTGTTATTTGTACTTCATAATAAACATCTACCTATAAATAATCAGGATTCAGTAAGGATGTAAAAAATATTACAATTTGTGGCTTTAAAGGGTATTTTTTTATTTTGGTTTTTCTATCTCTGGTCTACATCCAAACCTAAACGTTTTTAGTATTATGCTTGCATTTTGAAGATTCCTACAAGAAAAACCTGTTTCTATATTAGATCGAGTTTACATGTTATTTCCGGATTAATTTAAATAATTTTAAACATACGAACATAATTATTGTTATTACATTGCAGTATTTGGTTTATACCGACAGGGGGCAGTAAGAGCATTTCCTGCTTCTATGTTTAACAGCATCATAAAAGCGTCGAAGAAGAGCGCAAACCGGAAATGACGGGAGCTCCTTTTCCGATGAAACTAGATAAACAAAGACATTATTTTACGAATAATAAAGCGTTAGACTTGTTTTCACGGTTTTTACGTGTAAACGCGTTTATCAGAAATAAAGTGGGGAGATAAATATCGAGGGGCCGAGGTAAAGAAGGACAAACATCCTCCGTAAACAAGCGGTTAGCTCGACATGTTTATTTTATTGCTTGACCAAATCCTGATGATCATCATGGCATGACACTGGCACGGTGCTAGGAAAAAGACTTTCTTTTTTTATATCTAAAGGTAAGCTTTGACTCATCAGTTAGAGCATAATGTCCACTCATAAAAGAAAACGTACGAGTTTTAAAATAATTCGCGGCACTAAGTTGTCGACACACAGATGTGCAATGATTGTCGTGATGTTTCATCCTGCTCTGATCAGAGCAGAACCTGTATGACGTCTTCACTGTCGGGTTGTCCTCACAAGCAGGGAAATTATATCCCACTGTCACGACGCGTGGGTTGCCTTCTCATTTCGCAGATATTTCATCTTCTCTAAATTCCTCCAGGTTGTGGGAACAGGTGAGGCGGTAAACTCGACAGCGCCATGGCGTGGGCCCTCAAGCTGCCCCTCACAGATGAGGTGATCGAGTCCGGTCTGGCCCAGGACTTCGATGCCAGCCTCTCCGGCATTGGCCAGGAGCTGGGAGCAGGAGCCTACAGTATGAGGTAAGCTTTATGTGTGTGTGATGCTGCAACCACTGCACATTTTAGATTTTAACCTTTGGAAGTGCTGCACTTCAGACTTGCATTATTTCAGATTTAATTGTTTTTGTACAACTTGAAATATGACATTTGCTTCTGCTGTTTTCTACCCGCTTAACTGAGATATCTGATTTCTGGATTCCTGACCTTTAAATACAGATTATGATCACCGTTGAACTTTATATTCAGTTCGTTTCTCATATTTTAACACTTTCAGACACATTTATTTAATTTGTTTGCTCAGATTCATACAAAGAACACATTTCTTTGTTTATAACATGAAAAAAGTGTTTAGTGTTTGCAATATTTGACAGATCGGGAATAATTTTCTTTTTCGCCTTTTCACGTTTTCCAACAGGGGAACTGTCCACAGTAGCAATAACTTCTTATTTGGCGCGTCATGCATGTACTGTGCGACAGGAAAGAGCACATATTTTGCAACAAGCAGGAAAAACAGAAAGTCAAACTTAGTGGTGCTCGGTGGAGATCAGTCTTTAAATAAAATAGACATTTGATTTATTTTAGGATTTTGTAGTATCTGAAACTGTGGCACATGTTGTAGAAATTTATTAGTCATATAAAATTAGCTTTTTTAAAAATGTGGATTATTCCTAAGAGTTTTTTGAAAAGGGGTGCTAGACTTTTTCCTTTTTTTAATGTAAGCACTTTAATAAAAAACCTCTTAAGATCGCCGTGCCCTTGGTGACTGAGAGGCTACACCTATGAGACAGATCGTTCTGTGTTGGAGCTCCTTTCTGGCTCATTAGGAGCCTGAAACGTAGCCTGGCTGCTGGAGAGATTCCTGTGTTGGAGGGAGCTGTGACACACGGACTGGAAACCTTGGTATTTAGTAGTGTCAGACTTAACAAGCTGCACAGCCAGAGGACATCACGATCCAGTTTGAGGTTCTGTTTGCTGCTGGTTGGCTCTGTCAGATTCTTTGATTTGATCTCAGGTGAATGTCTGTTAATTATTATAAGTAGCACATCGTTTGTTTGTAAATTTGTTTTATTTGACCAAACCAATGAATATTTTTCAGAGTGAGGTGAAAAGTTTTTGGCAGCTTACTGACAGCGCTTTTCTAATGGCTCTGCTCTCCAGCGATGTACTCGCCCTCCCCATCTTCAAACAGGAGGAGTCCAACTTGCCTCCAGACAACGAAAACAAGATCCTTCCCTTTCAGTATGTTCTGTGTGCACCTACCTCGCCAGCCATTAAACTGCATGACGAAACACTCACCTACCTCAACCAAGGTCAGTATCAAAATCCCTGCTGCACCACACGAGCACCCTACCCCCAAAATTCAGTTTGTCTTTGTTTTATTTTTCCAAATTTCCTGTTTTATGATGTTACCTCATTATTTCACCTAAAAGTGTCATGAGAGTAAAGAATCAGTTATTTGTTTCTTAAAACAATAGTGCTTCACCTATGGACTTCAAAGGGGAAGCACTATATTTCCGCAATATTTTATAAAATATAATGTAAAAATTATTGTTTTGTAATTGTGTCCTTTACTTAAACTGGTACAAATTGTTCTTCGTTTTAAACCTATTCATCTGATTCAGCACATGAAACTACGAAATGTTTGATAAACTCGTGTCTAGCTTTAAAGAATGATGTTTTCGTGTAGGAGTTCACCAAAGTGGAGGCTCTTCGATTGTGGGCTGAAAGGAACTTACAGAAAAGTTGTTCTTTGAAGTCAAATAAATCCTTAGTTGTCCTGATGCGTGCTCAATCATCCAGGTAGATAAATCTAACAAGGTTGAGTTAGGTCCTCTGGACGTGTTCGTCTTTGTTGAAACGTTTGGTCTTCTATCCAAAATATCTTCAGTTTGAGGAGCTGCAACAATCTAAAGCCGCTTTGTCGTTGATAAGTGCAACTCCACTTGGCTCTCGTTTTATCGGTTCTTCTCAGGTGGAGGTGATTTGCCACTGTGACTTGTTTTCCTGCTCTGTGGGCAGGATCGTCAATGCAAAGTGGGCTGTATCATAACGGGTTATTGTGTTTGAGCCACTCGGCTCGTTGTGGTCCTTAATTGCCCTGTAATTGGACTTCAATTGCTTTACCTTATCCTGACATTGTTTATAAATTCAGGTGTAGCCATGCTGCTCCATCATCTCCGGTATCTCTCTGTAAATGCTCTCATTTCTCCGTCAACACAATGAGGAAGTGGAGGTTCACATGTAGTTTGCAGTTTAACTGGGCGGGTCATCCAGTGACGTAGCTTCACTGTCCAATCAACGGCTGCTCTCTGCTTATGTCAAAATGGGCCCCTCGGAGCAGCCCGCATGAAACCTCAAACAAGGTGGTCCCATAAACCGGGCTGGGGTGGGAGGTGGGGGGTACCAACAGTGGGCAAGCCCTTAACTGGTGCAGCGTGGTGCAGAACTGATTAGAGGCAAAGCACCATCAGTCTTTTTCATAGTGGATCAACCAGTTTGCTGGTGACAGTTCAAAACTAGTTCACATGTAAAATGGAGGACCATCAGCCTAATGAACGATCGTTAGTGCCCTGATGGCCGCTTGCTATTCACAGACGGCTGAGTGATACTAGCAATAACAGCATTGTAAGAGGGGGACAGTTGAACACGGAGGCCTCCGCCCCTGTTTATTGACAGGCGGGTTCTATTTACAAAGATGGCTTCCTTCACTCCTCTCTGGAACCATAGTTCATCTCAATAAAGGATGTGCCCACAAGTATTGTGTGGTTGGTCAGAAGTTTGTGGTTGTGTTTGTCAACGTGAAAATGAGCTCAGGCGTTCATCTGTACGACTCTTTAAAAGTACTAAATTAGTCAAATGGACAAAAACTCCTGGATGGAGATGGTGCAGACGTTGTGTATGGAGGAGACTGTCTGCTGGAAAGTGTGGTGCTTTCTTCATGATAGATTTATGGACAAACAACAGATGCAGGGACGGAGTGGAGACTCTGGCAGGAAGAAACCCGCGTGGTGACGTATACTGTAACAGGAGGGGTTTCCCAGGAGCTCTGCGTCTCGTGGACTATGTTGTTGAAAATGAACGTACCACAACCACGTGGTCATGCATCGCCTGTTCAGCTTCGAATGGATTATGTCAGGTCCTTAAACTGCAGAGTCCTGGCCTGATGATGTTGATCTTCTGTGCTGGGCCATCCTTTTGGCCAGTGGCTGTTTAGTTTCCCCGATGTAAGACTGATCACCCTCCTGACACTGAACAACATACACAACATTACTCTGTTTGTGCCGGGGGACTGGATCTTTGGGATGAACCGGTCTTTGCCGTAATGTATTTTGGGGTTTAAAAGCCACTGGAACGTTGTGTTTAGAAAATAAACGTCTTATTTTCTCTGAAACTCCCGCAACTCACGGAATGACTGTGACTTGATGTTCCACTTTTGGAGTAAGCTGTTGGAGGAATAATCAGTTTTGTTCTGTGTTGCCTTGACTGACGAAGCCTTCTGGACCGAAGGCGAAACGTTTCAGCACAAAAAAAGAAACTGTCCAGATGACCTGACTGAAAAATGTTGGATTGTATACCTGGATTATTGAGCATGGACTTTGTTGTTTTGCTCTAAACTTTGTTCTTAACATCAAAATGCCTTGTTGTCTCGATTCTTAAAAACGTGGTAGTGACCTGAGCCCCGGGTCTCCTCTACCCATCACATTCAGCAGACCAAACTCTGCAGTTGCCAAAATGTTAACTTGTTTGAACGTCACTGAGAACACGAGAAACGCACGAGACAGATGTTTCTAGTTACGGTCATTACAGTCAACATGAAGAGCGGGAAGAGAAGTTCTGGAGGAATCGTAGAGCTTTTTAACAACGGGCTGTAATCCTGAACACGTCTCTGAATGAGAGGCTCTGTTAGCTGAGGTTTTCTGTCAACATTAGCTGCGTAGAACGTTTATTTAGTTCATAATGTGTATTTATCTCTCTGCCCTGTTCTTCCAGTGGAAGTGATGCAATTCATCAGCTTTGTTGTAGCTTAACTATAAATCAACCCTTTATGAACTGAAATTTCTCTCATGCTTCTCTCTCCTAAAATATTTCCGTAGTTTGTCAACTGCGTTATAGTTACAACACAATGGATTTGTTTGAGGTGTTTTAAAGAATGCATTAGCTCCTCCGCTTTTCCTCCACTTGGAAAATGAAATTATAACGAGACACTTGCCATGTCCAGCCACACATGTATTGTTCAGTGGTAACCTGTGACCTACAGACCTTGGAGGAGGTCACAGGAAGCTGATCCAGCTCTAACGGGGTTTCTCTGAGGTCGCACTGAGACCCACGTGGAGAAATGAAACTCTGCAGAGAGCAACTTGATGGCCAGATCTAAACACGTGTTTTACTTTGCTGTAAATATCATGAACGACAGAGAGATCTTCAAACAAACAACTAAAATAAAGACATGGAAAAACATAAACCAAAAGTTTTTAATGTGCACCTGGATCAACCTTGAGTTGGTCATTACTCATAAAGGAGTCAGCTGTTAAATATTAAAACGTTTATGTTGATCTACCATGACTCTATTTGAGTTTTGTGCAAAGTGAAATGATAAAAGTTGTGTCGGTGAATAGAATCAAGTCATGAATATACATAAACTTTTTCTTACATTGTTTTTACAATAGTGTAAAGTTTGATTAGTTTCATATTATTTCAGGATGTTTTCATTGCAGACTGAGATATATAATTCACATAATTCATTAAAGATGCATGTGTAACTGGTAGGACTGATGGGCTGTAAATGTTTTTGCTGACCTTCCTGGAGTTAAACATGTTATGTCATTTCTGCTTGTTATTTCAGGGCAGTCCTATGAAATTCGAATGCTCGACAATCGGAAAATTGGGGAACTTCCTGAAATCACTGGCAAAATGGTCAAAGTATGAATTTATTCCACAGCGTGTTCTGTCAAGGTTACAGTTTGTCTGTTGGACTAAATCTGTATGTGAAAACAAGTTTCTTTTGCCTTCAGAGTATCATTCGTGTGGTGTTTCACGACCGCCGGCTTCAGTACACGGAGCACCAGCAGCTGGAGGGCTGGCGATGGAACAGACCTGGAGATCGGATCCTCGACTTGGGTGAGCGCTGAAGAAAGGAGACGCTTGTTCTTTGGATTCATGTTACCATAACGTCAAGTACCGTGCTTTTCGGCCTATAAGTCACAGTTTTTTTGCATAATTTAAATGCCCTGCGACTTATACGCTGAAGCGATGTATTTGGTCCTCATATGTATAAACCAATTTTTGGCTCAGATATAACCGTTTTCATTCATTCTGACTGAAATGTTGAACACTACCATTTTCAGCCGCTAGATGGCACTCGAGTAGTATGGCATGCCGTTGTGTCATGTAATGGGTAAAAGTGTATATTAATGCCACAATCGGCTTGCCATACAAGCCTGCCACCTACGTCCAGCTCGCCTGGAGCAACCGTCAAATCAGCTTCATTTTGCTGAGCTGCCCCGGAGAAATGCAGCTAATTTGACAATTGAAGTGCATTTATTAAGTAAAAGTTCAACTGAGACACAACTTTACTATAATTTCAAATAAACAAATAATTGTTTTTAGGTGTTTATCTTGTTAAATTTTGAAGAAATGCACATGGAGTAGCCCTCTGTGCGTTTCCGCAGCTGTGAATCGGCTTTTGAAATGCAGCCGAATTGACCCTCAATTTATTAAGGAAACGTTGGACTGAGACGCACCTTTGCTATAATTTTGAGCAAACAAAAAATTGTTTTTAAGTGTTAATCTTGTTAAATTATTGTTAAAGTCCTCCCGTGCACATTCCCGCGGCCACCATTTTGCAGCCAATTGATTTTTGGCACAACACCGGCCCACATTTCCGGCTTGTCAGCGCTGACGCGTAACAAACGCGACGCGTCAGCGGTGATGCATAATAGATGCGACGTATACGGCGAAGCAACATATTTATGCATTTTTTCACTTTGTTAGACATATTTGGACTGATGCGGCATATAGGGCGGAGCGACGTGTACGGTGGAAAATACTGTGGTTCTAGGATGAAATCAATTTGTGACATTTCCTGTGAAGCGTTAAACTAAACTGATGACAGCGGTGATAACTCAGAGAAGGTTGACAAGTGGTTTGATCATTTTTTCGAACCGTTGCAGATATCCCCATGTCAGTGGGCATAATCGACCCCAGGGCCAACCCCACTCAGCTCAACACTGTGGAGTTCCTTTGGGACCCCTCAAAGAGAACATCTGTTTTTATCCAGGTAGCATCAACTTTAACTTTGTTTGTTTTTGTTTGTTTTTCATCCTTCTTTGTATTATTAATTATTTTCAAAAGACCCTACTGTTTTCTTGTTGATAAAATGTAACAGAATTTTTGTGGCCAGTTGCAAGGAGCACCTTAAAATGAGGACTTTTCTTACAGCTCGTTAAAGATTTCTTACTATTTGCTATATATCTCTTATAAAATCAGCCCTAATATCAAGATTGAATGAAAAAGACACGTGCAGTGGATTGACTGGCTGTCAACAATCTCTGTGTAAATACTATAAATCCTGGAACGAACAACAAAAATGACTCGGACCATGGTGGAAAAATATAATCAATCTGTTTGACTCAAGAAATAACTTTGATGTGTGCACAACATGTGAAAACTGCGTGCACACAAAACTATTCAGATTTCTCAAATTGTGCGCACGTTTTTGCTCTCCTTTATACAAACGTAGAACAGTGCACGAGACATCTCCCCTGACACACCTGCACCCAAACATGCAGCTAGATACAAAAACGTCCTGCATGTGATTCTCCGTGATGTCTAGAGTCAGGAAAATGAGGAATTTAATGGGATGAGTCAGAGATGCTCCTACATAAGTTGTGGTGTGTAAGAACATCTTTGCTACATGTGTGCGAGGAGGAATGTGTGTGTGCGTGTGTGTGTGTGCAGTTGTCATTGAAAAAAATGCACTAATGAGGCTGAGGCATTTTACTCCTGCGTTTAATAACATGGAGACACTCAGATACTTTGTACAAGTTAGAGGCTTGTTTATAAAACACTTGATGCCAAGAAACATGTCGCTGCACGTCACAGAGGCTTCCAGCCACCGTGCAGGATAATCTGCCTCCTAACTTTTTTTATTGGTGATGTTCTCCAGCTGTGCCGAAGCTGCCACAGTTCCCCAGTTGCTCACACCTTTTCACTCTTTGCACAACAATTCGTGGGTGTGTGTGATCGTCTGCACCATGTCGACCTGGGGAATCGCACGGGAGTTGTTCTGAATTAAACTTGCTGATCCGTCACCTTTTTCCTCCCAGTGAGGATGGAAGTTCCCCATAAACAGTTCACATTTGATACGCCTCATCTGTCTGTGCACCTTGCAGGCGTGCGGCCGCTGGCGTGTGTTTCCATCTTGACCAAAAGATGAAAAACGTTGCAGTTCACTTGGGAGTGAAGTTGTTTTGATCAGTTGATGAGGCGTGTTGTGTGTGAGGTTAAATCTAGTTCAGTTTCATGGTTCGACTTTAAAGCATAAATGCTCAGCCTCATGAGAAAACGTGTTGAAACGCCCCTGAAGTTCAGGAAACCAGATGGAGTCGTACTTCAGTGTATTTAGGTGAGCTTCCGTACTTTTTAGTTTGACTGTATCTGCTCACCACAGACTCATGTTCGAGCTGCTGTTACACCGTATTGTTTTACATTATTAGTGTTTAGTGTACATCTTAGATCCTTACATACTGTTTCTTTTTATACTTTATATTTTGCTAGTTTTGGGTGTAACTGGGACGTTGAGTACATCATTTCGTTCCACCTCATGTACCACATGTGAAGGAAATGATAATAAAACTGACTTGATACTGTGGAGTGAAACGCTTTGTGTGGATGTAAGCACATATCTGCACGTGTGTGCATATTTAAGTGCACTTTCATGCAACATTTATTTTGATGCAACCAGACGTGTGCGTGGAATCTGGTGCACGTGACCTTTTTGTTCATACATGAGGCCCCTGGTGTTTAGTGCAGCTGACATCCTTTAAGGAGATATAACGTTCTCTCATTTCATTTTCAAACACGTGGAATGGTGGTACACAGTTAAACAACTGTAGCAGCTAAATTAACCCAGTGAGATTTTAATTCATTCATTCAACCTTTATTTAAACAGGTTGGTCCCATTGAGCCACGAGGACTCATTTACAAGAGACACCTGAATTTTAACAGAGTGATGACAACAGTACATAACATTGACAATAGACAATCATAAAGGATGCATACAATTTTTTTGTATTTTATTTATTTATTTATTTTTACAAATGAAAATAAAATAGAAATTAAACAGATAATTAAAAAGAAAAGTAGCGAAAAAAACAGATTACGAGTTTACGAGATTACATTGATTAATTATTGAATTCTTTAACCTTTCATCGCCTGCATCATCAACAAGATTATGTAAAAGTTTAATTCCAGTCCAGTAGTTTAGTAAATATCTGTTAACCATTTGAAAGGTTTGACAGCTCGATCATCCAGGTAGATAAATCACAAAAAAGGTTAAATCATGTCATCTGGACAAATTTGGCTTGAAACACATCAAGGAGGTGCTATTTATGAGACGGATCTGGTTGGCAGGCCTCATGCTGATGAAACCTTTCAGATGAAAGACGAAACGTTTCTCCCAAAACGAAACTGTCCAGATGACGTGATTGAACCTTTTTTGTGTTCACCATTGGTTTTCTCTCAGCTAAATCATAGATTGATTATTATGAACGTTTTAATCTCTCTCCTGTTTCTTGTTAAGGTTCACTGCATCAGCACAGAGTTCACCATGCGCAAGCACGGAGGAGAGAAAGGCGTCCCATTCCGCATCCAGATTGACACTTTTAAAGAAAACGAGAGCGAGGAGTACACGGAACATCTCCACTCGGCCTCCTGTCAGGTCAAAGTCTTCAAGGTTAGAGGGTTGATAAAAGGAAGCAGAAGTGACCTAAACCTCTCCTTGACTGAAAAGTTGTTGTATCAGGCAGTTTTGTTCACAATGTTCATGGCTGACCTCTTCATTTCCTCCGTGTGACACGTTTCAGCCCAAAGGTGCAGACAGAAAACAGAAGACGGACCGGGAGAAGATGGAGAAGAGGGCACCACAGGAAAAGGAAAAGTACCAGCCTTCTTATGAAACTACAATTCTGACAGAGGTGGGCAAAGTCTGATAATATTTAAAGTTTAGATCAATAAACATGATCAACTTTGAACCAGCACTGATGATTCTGTTTGGGATTGAGCGTTTGATGGTAAACATTTGTAAAATGGTTAGGAGTTTTATAACATGCTCATCTGGATAGTTTCTCAAAGCTGTTATTATTGTCCTTTAGTTTGATGGTTTTGGCCCAACCAGATGTCTTAAATCAAGCTTAAATTGCCAACATCATAATAAAAAAGAAACTAATTCTCATCGTGTGAAACTACATTCAACGTGTTGTCTTCAGTTATTACTTTTTATACAAACAAATGAATCCATTTTTGTTCAAAAAATATATCAGCCTACATTTTTTTCTCAACTCCACAAACATATTTTATAACAATGAATTTACCAAGTTATTAGACTTCTTTTGTTCTTACAAATAGCTTTAATTTAATGAGGAAACAAGCAAAAAGCTTTAATATTTTATTTCTTTAATGTTGTCGGTCTGGGGAGTCGAACTGGCAACCTTCTGATCACAGACCCACCTTCTCTAACCTCTGCGCCACCACTCCCCGAACAGTCATTCTACACACAACCATCTGATGCTGTCTGTCCACGCTCTCCTCTGCCACAACCTGACAGTCTCCCTCAGGTTTCCTCTTCTGCACAGAATGTAGTCAACCTGTGTGCTCCTTCCTCCACTCTTATAGGTCACTCTTCCTCTTTCTTTTGGAAATATGTGTTGACTACAGCTGTTTCCATTCTCCTGGCATAATCCACCACCATCCGTCCTTCCTGGTTTCTTTCCTTGACACCAAACCTACCCATCACTTCCTCATCCCCTCTGTTTCCTTCACCAACTTGTCCATTCAGGATGCAGTTTACGAATCATACAGCACAAATAAAACTGAATAAGAACGCACAATATAAACTTGTGTTAATCTACTTGTTGAAGAGGAGGCAGGTCCAACTGGCCGGTTAAAAGAGGTTAAAAAAAAAGTCCAGTTAAGTTCAGATGGATCAGCTGATCACCAGTCGCGTGCATCTCCACACCTGCTGTCATCTGCAGTGAAGGAAGTAGCAGTATCTACAAAAGCCGAAGCGAGCAGTGCGTTCAATTAAAATAACATTGTTCTATATTTTTCCAAATTATTTTGTTCTAAAAATATTTTTATTCATCTGTATAATAGTTTGTCTTTAAAGTTTATTTTTTAGGCTATTGGTTTTGTATGTTAATATCCATTTGGTGAAACAAGAAATCTTATATCTTCCGTTTTTTGAAATATGTTTTTGAAATATTATTTCAAACTGATTTGCTTACAAAAGCAGTAAAAGCTTAATAATAAAAAAGTCTCTTTTTAACCTATGAGCACCTTGACTTATGCAGAACTTATGAGCAATGTTAGTGTAACTTGCAGCGATAAACGTGACATTAGATGTAAAAAAAAAATAGCAGCTCTGCATTCTGCACCTCCACTCATTAAATTTGCATTGATCAACATGCCTTGGAAGAAATCAGCTAAGTCTGTGATTAAAAAATTAACATGATTCTCCATCTCTGTGGTGATAGGTGTAAACCTCTGCACCTCATGGATCCAGCAGGATTGATGAATTACTCATTTGTTCTCTGTTTATAGCAGAACCCCAAAACACTGGCAAATACGCTAAATTATAAACGAGTTCAGTGAGTTCTAGGATTGTCAACAATAGACATTCATTGAATATGTCATTATATGGTAAGGCCCCTCAACATGCACAAAACGTGAGCCATAGCCAACTGTGCTCTCAGAACTTTTATTAATGTACCAGCAAAAAATATAGAGAACACAAGCTGCTGTCACAGCTGCAACTCAAGCTGGACTCAGTTTCAACTAAACTAATTACCCCTGGTGGTGACTTGTGCTCCTCCACAACTCTGCGCTCCTCCTTTGTCTCTTCCCCCACACACATCTCTCACACACTTAAGTTCACAATAGCCCAATCGTTGCAGTGTGTTCCCACATACTCTGCAAAATACAACGTTGATCGTAATCTCTGCATAAGTCAGTAAATGCTGTCATACACTGGTATAAGTTATGGATAAGCTACTCATAGATCATATATTTGTTCAACTCATTAGCAATCAGCATGCAACTGTCCAACAAAGGCTTCCAGATGATTTTTTGTAAATACATCTTCAACATATGCCAGTTGGGCAAAATTTACCCAAGTCGACATAAGTTGTTTAAAACATTAAAGTGTGATAAAGCCTTTAGTTGCACTGCGCCATCTTAATCTCAAACTAATACTGAGACCAGCTGAACTAGTTTCCAAACCAACCTAAAACATGTTCACAGTCTTTGTTTTACTGCTGTTTGATCTGTTGAGCTGAAAGCATCATTAAAGAGTCTGAACATTTCTGCCTCTTGTCTTAGGACTGACTAAATTCCATTTGAAGGCATCCTTAATATTTGTATACTTTTATTTTTAAACCTGACTTACTGGCTGACACAATAATGGTGATGTTCTTCTGAACTAGTGACAGGACTAAAGTTAAAAGATTGATTCACACACTGAGAAAATACAAGGAGAGCTTAATACTTTACAAGTAATATTTACAGCCTTAAAGGAGATAATTAGTTGAAATAAAATGCTCATTGAAAGGTTATAGCGTCTTAATTTAATCAAAGATTTATCTTTTATTTTGTAAGTTTTGTTTAGCAATGCGTAGCAGAAACGCCACATCTTTATTAAAGTAGTCCCTCGTTTATCGTGGGGGATCCATACTCTGAAAACCTGTGATAAATGAAAAACCGCAAAGTAGGACTAGTAGTTCAAGTAGTAAGTAGTAGTTTATATAT